AAAAAAAATTGTTATTTTGAAAAAGATATTTTGTAAACCTTAATTCATAAAAATATGGTCAATGATAACTTTAAATACAACGGGTAAATATGGTCAATGATATCATAAATTATATTTTATATTCGATAAGTTCAACTTAATTGATGATTTTGTTTGTTAATATTTGCTTAACTACAAAATATTTTAAAGTTTATAAAGAATCTCATTTTATGTAGGTTCTTGGTACTTTTTTATTTGTACATATTCATTTTTCATCCCATATCCAAATACAAATTTAAATGCGGATCTTACATGTTTATTAGAAATATATGTATATTTTTTCAAAAAGTATGACGATCATATAATTAATTTTATCATATATCATATGTTGGATGTTATTAGTTTGGTTGGGGACACTCATTATATTCAAATAAATAATATATAATTTTTCATATTTGGTATTTCTTTTTTTATAATAATAAGATGTTAAACATAAATAACTATGTTTAATATAAAGTCTTAGAAAAGGTTTTAAGTAAAAATCCCTCCGTGCAGCGCACGGGATACACACTAGTATATTATTAGAAAACTCAAAAAAAAGGGTTGACACTAAAGAATCAGATAACTAAACAAAAATATGCTTAGCTTGACACGCAGCTTTTCTCCTATTTTCTGTTTCTCTTATATTCCCCCAACATTATTTAGGAGTTGAGTAACAGTCCATTATCTCCTTCTTCAACGAGAGAGGACAGTGCATAAAGAAGGGACATCTCTCTTAGGGGAGAAGAGAGGGAAGCTAAAGGAGTGACTATTAGTGAAGAGAAAGAATTTGTTTCAAATTGATTTTGATTCAGAGGTTTCTGCGTTGTTGATGTAATTTCTCGATAGTGGAGACGGCAGACGACGGATGTAGTTTTCTGTTTTTATAAACAGATTTAGTGTTGTTGTGGCCAAACTCGACAACTATGTATATCTTCCGTATATATATACTTTATATGTGTAGTATATTTAAACCTTTTTTTTTTGTTTGTGTAGTTGCAAATATATATACTGTATATTTTTCGTATATGTACTGTTTATATTTTTTGTATGTATATGAAAATGTATATGTTATATATATGTCATATATATATCCAACATAAACGAAAACTGGGATAAAAAATGGCCACATAAAAATGTTTCTCTCTCCAGGTATGCATCCCGTCAATTACGGGATCGATCTGTTATATAAATAATTTAATTAAGTTAGATATAAGTACAATTAAATTTTATATTTAGTATATATGCAAATAAAAACAATTCATTAAAGCAGAAATGTAAATTCCCCTTAAGGCATTCGACCATTATTTCAAGATGCAGTATCCACATGAGTTGGAGAGACTGGGCCATAGACAAAAGCCCAAACTCACATATTCCACTATACAACGTGGGCTCCCCATATATTTACAACTGATACGAAACAACTGATTATAGGGTTCGTTTACTTTCTTGCACTGTGCATTATATCCATCAAATGTTTATTGATCATTTTTTATTTTAGTAATTTAAGTCTAATTTTGTATTACCATGATATATAGAATATGAAATAAATATTTTAAATGCTCAAGACATAATATTACATTATTGCAGTTTTAAGGATAAAAATATAAATTCCTGTATTCTCTCCAAATGATAAAATTATCCAACTCTTTCCATAGAATAAACTTATCACCATATGATGGGATTCTATTGCTGCCGTGGTTTCGCCCTGGGCAGTTAACAATCAATAAATAAAGGACATAGAGTCCAAAAATCGGTGAGCTCGGTCTAAAGATTGCTAGAAGAAGTTCAATAATAAATCGGTGTTTTCTATATTATTGAACTCCAAATTTCTCTACTCTCTCCAATGTGTTTTCTACGCAAAGCCCTCATTCAACAATTATTATTGAACTTCTTCTAGCCTCAAATTACATTGGACTCCAAATTTATCTTCTTTGTTTATCTTCTCATGTTTAATATATTAATTAGTGAGAATCCCGTGCGATGTACGGGAGTTTCGTACCTTAGAACATTTTTTCAAAACTTTATTTTAATAATATATTAACTCGCTAACCCATTTGTATTAATATAAATAATATTTTAACATATATATTTATTTTTTAATATAAAAAGATAATAATTTTACATATTTTGGTTCATCATAATACTCAAATATTATTTTACTCAAAAATTTATTGTCGTATAATATCATTATTATTTATAACACTTATAGAAGAAATATTCTTTTTTTTATATATATATAATGATAATGATTTAATGTATATTAATATTATTTATTGATGTGATTAACTTGAAAATATATAAGCAAATTTAATGTTTGTTAGGAATGTAAGTTAAGATAAAATAGAATGTATCAAAAAAAAAAATCTGCTTATAATATTTTTCTTTAAATGTTTGAATGAATTTAAAATTCAAATTATAAATCAACCTCCAGTTATAAATTCAAAGACTCTTTTGCTTTGGTAATTACCATTTAGAAGAATACTAGATTAAGTATATTATTGTATCTGGTTGTATCTCATTATTTTGGTAAATATCAAAATTTTATGTGATCAATTATTTTAATCCAACAATATTAAATTACACGTTGTCAATCCATGAAATTAAGTATATTACTGTATCTGGCTATATCTCATTATTATTGTACATATAAAAATATTATGTGGTTAATTATCTGTGAATATCGTATGATTGATTTTATAGCTAATTTGCGTTTGAATTTGGAAATAGATCAACCACTGAACATAAAATTAGATGTTTTCAATATTAATCATATGTTTTCATAATTTGAATTTCAAATTGAAAGCTATCCTCCCATTTAAAAAAAAAGATTCAAAAAAATGTACAAATAATAGTAATAATGAATTTTTTGGTGAGGTTTTAGTTTCTTTTTTCAGTAAATCTCTATTCCTATAATATATTAGTAGAATATTCTTTTTTTCAAAGAAAAAAAGTTTTCAAAGAAAAAAAAGATACGAAATTCAATTGATACGCACTAATTATCTGTGGGATATCAATTGATTTTCAAAAAGTTTTCTTTTTTTCAAAGAAAAAAGGATATATTTGATTTCAGAATTATAATATACGTGATGGGGGTGACCACATATTTTCTTCCACAGCTGTCTCTAACGTTATTATCTCTCTCGTATTTACTGCATTTGACAATCAATTGTGAATATGTTGACAATTTTAGTGATGCTGAATAAAATATTAACTTTTGGGGTCCTTTATCAAAGGCTAATTGGCTTGGTGTTCCCTTTCACTCAATTGACCATATATATTTTGTTTAATTCATTCATGATCTAGAAAATTACAGCACTATTTGACAAGGCGTAGAAATTTAAAGAAGTGTAAGGAAAAAGCAGGCATTAGCCGTCGACGTAGATGATACGTCAAAATCAAAATTTCCCACGTAACTAAGAAAACTGTGGTTAGTTTTAATCAAATAATTTTCATGTTAATATCAATGTATTCACTAATTTTGGTGTGGAAAGTATCTTTCTTAAAGCCATTAAAGGCACGTAGACTTCATTCATGTCTACCTTTCTGTAGTTTTTGGTCCCCCATGGCCATGTTTTCTTTGGTTTGGACTTTCCGTACCTCAAACTTTCAACTTAAATGGCTATCAATTGGAAGGGAAAATTCAATGCCCAATTAGTTATGGTATTGCAAAATATTTTGTACGTTTATGTGACAACTGCTATTGAAGTGTAGTTTCGTCCCTACAAGAAAATGATGAAATTTCAACGGTAATATATTTCATTATAATTTCAACGGCAATTCCAATTGATATTTCAATGCTATTATTTCCGTTGAAATTATTCCAACAGAAAT